GGACTTCTAGCAAGTCAGTGGAGTAAGACAAAAACCGTTGATAACAATCGTTATCATAACCAATTATAATTGAACGTATAGATGGATTCATAGATCTTTCTTTGAATATTCCTACAAACGGCAGAAGCCTAACAGCATTATGGCTTGAAGTGATAGTCTAAGCTATAATCATTTTAAGTATTTAAACCTTTGCATTATTTATTAATTGTTTCATGCATAATTCTTTCGTGCTTTTTTTTTTTTAAAGGAAATCCACATGAGATTTTTAATCATTCTTCATTCACTAAAATCTAAATTAAGCTTTATGACGTGACGATCGATTCCGTTACGATTGGTACCCTCATCACTTATCACTTGTCACTTGTCATTTAATTTTGTTCATCCTATTTGATTTCTTCAATTAGTTCCATTTAATTCTTTTAAATGCGAGTTGAATTATCTAATAATCTATAATTAAGTATATAGTGGTTCAGCTTGAGAATAAAATAATAAAATATTGCTTAATTCGAGGCGCTTCTTTTTTTCTGAAGACTGAAATTCTTTTCCCCGTAGCAATCAAAAGTGGTACCCAGATGATACTTGACGAGTCATCTGTAATTCTATCGCTAAGAGAGACTTCTTGGTATATTTTTTTGTGATTATTTAGAAAAAACTAACCAGTAAAGATGATCCTTAAAAAAAAAAATGAAATGGCCCAACTTAAGAAGCTATAAATGATAAGGCTTTCGTCTACGATCACCTACGAAATTATAATTAAAAAAAAAAAATTAACTAACTATTAAAAAATATTGGTTATGCTAGTGGTGCAGCTGCATTTTTAGTCAGTTTCCATATTAATTATAGCCAATCAAAGCACAATAACTATTAATTTATTGGAAAATTGACACTATCAAAAATATAGTGTTACTTTCGAATATTATAAATCTCTTCGATGAACCTGGTTATCTTATAAATTTCTTTCTTATTTTTTTTTATTAGATTTTTTAAATTTAAAAAATAAAATAAAAAAAATAAAAATAAAAGAAATCAATTAAAATATTGCTCGAGGTCAAACATCTTCTTTCGTCATTTTTAGTTGAAAAATTTTCTAAATTTTTTCAAATCTAAATTAATTTAAATTTATAAATTTATTAATGAGTAATACTTCGTTCATTGTTTTAATTATGGCTCAATGAGTTGTTGCACGAATTTCCGAACGTCGATGATAGTTGTTCTATTCCATAAAAATAGATTTTTAAAAAATCCAACCGATTCATATTTATATTTCTAGCTTTACACGATTCCTAGTACTGCCAACTAACAATAGCAAATCTTATCTTATCAGAAATATTAAATGCTAAAAAAAGAAAAAAAGAATCATTATTAAGTTCCATAATTATTACCATAAAAGGTATTAATGAAAAAAAAAGAAATGGCACATGAGAATAGAAAATGACTGATTATTATGAAAAGCAAATGAAAAAATTTATTTTCTAAGAGTGATGGGAAACACTAAAATCTATATTAAATAGCTGAGAGATCGATTATTAGTAGTAAGTAAGATCTTTCCAAATGAAAGCATATTTGGCCTTTTATAAGGCTACTAAATTGATTGCTTAAGAAATGTTTATATATTTTTATAAACATGTTTTTATATTTTTATATATATATAAAATACATATATTTCTTATTTATAGAACGAATTTATTGAAAATAATCTACTAATTTAATTATTCTAATTTATAAATTTTTTTTTCAAGGATTTAAATTTTCTCTAAAATTTTTTATTTTCTATTTTTACAAAAAATTTATTATTTAAAATATAAAAAAATATATAAGAGAAAAAATAAAAATTTTATGTATAGAAAATCTTTTTTCTATTTGATTTTCATTTATTCATCTATTCGCTTATCTTTTATTATTCCACTATCGACCGAACATTTGCTTCCTTTCTTTCTATTTGTTTTTATTTTTCTTAAATTTTTGAATAAAATTATTTCATATTATAATAACTTTTATTGTGTTTAATTATTTATTGTTAATAATTATTTTTGTTAGACAAAATTTTTTTAATTTTTATAGTAATAAATAAATTAAATTTAAATAAATAATTTATAAAATTATAAAATTTATTATTTAATTCGTTTACTTAATTGAATTATTATCAAATTTTATATTTAATTTTTATATTTATAACTTTATATTTATATTTATATTATATATTTATTATCAGTATCAAGAAAATATTTTTTTATTTTTATTAATTTTTTTTTTTCAATTTTAATTTTTGGAATCATAATTGCCTTGTCATTTTTTTTCTGAAATTATTCACAATTTCTGGTTGGATTCATTCGGTCGGCTTACCGGACCAGGCGAATCGCAATCGCATGAATCATTTGGCCAAGGAAGCAAATTTAAAAAGATAGGCTTGCTTCTATTGGAAAGCGAAGGTGAAGATCAACTGCGCGAACTCAAAAATAAAACGTTTTATATTGTATTTCCTTTTATATTTCCTTTTCCTTTTATTTCCTTTAAAATTCATTTCCTTCAATTTTTCGTCATCCAAATGAATTAATGCTTTAGCAACAATGATCTTTTTGCTAGCATATCTTTTCCGCTTTTCTTTTTGCATCATTTTCAGGAATTATAGACATAAATGGAAAGCTAAAAAGATAAATATCATTGATGATAATATTTTTTAATCAGATTATTATTTCAAGTTTACTAAATTAAAATTATTTCAAATGTTATAATCAATTTATTTGTATAATAATCATTCCTGTATTTAGTCTTCTTCTTCTAACAGAACTTATTGGTTAGGTTGATTCCGCTAAATTTACAAGGGTAAGTGTTTTCAAGCTGCTTGATAAGATTCAATACTTGAAGACGATGCAAACCACTCCTTTTTCTATTGACCTAAACCCATATATTGCTAAGCCGCTTTTATATTGAAAAATACTTTTGACCGTATCAATCCAAATCTTGGTTGGCTTTTAATTCATTATTCATTATTATCATTATTCAAACTTGTTAATTAGCGAGATATTATTATATCGAGAACTGATAAAAAATTATTATTTTTGAGATTTATTTAAAAATTAATTCATTAATTTAAAATAAAATTAATTCATTTTGAACGATTTTAACAAGCCATTATCATATATAATTTTCAATGTTCCACTTTTTATTTCTATTTTTTAAATCTTATAAAAATTTTTTTCAACAGTAAAAATTTAAATTTTAAAATTTATTTAACATTTTCAAATATATTTTATATAAACGGAAAGAACGGAAAGATAAAAAGATGTATATCACTGATAATATTTTATATCATTGATAATATTTTTAATCAAATTATTATTTTAAATTATTTTAACTTCATTAAAATCTTATATAATTTTACCATTATTTGAATTTACCATTATTATTTGGTATTTTATTGGTATATTTCTTATTACTATTTCTTATTATGAAATGGACCACCATATTGATAATGAAGATCGAGTAGTAGACATTTCGCTTCTTTAGACTTCGGTTAAGTGTTATGGATTTAATTGATTCTTGGCTCATGGTCGGGTTTTAAAATAATACTCTAAAATAAAAATAATACTCCAATGGTACTGGAAATATGCGTATGTAAATTTATGAGTGCAAATGATTAACTCTAACTCTATGGTGAATGAATCTGATATTTATAGAGTCGATAGAGTGAATGAAACCAGAAAGAGAGGCAATGTTAAGATATTAGCTAAAGTGGAAAAGATGAAAAATGTTTAATAACATTTATCAATTCAATTTTAAATTGATTATGATTTAGTAAAAATCTTATCGAATTCGATGATTTTTTTTTAAAACGATTTTACGAAATTTTTAAAATTTTGAAAAAATATTTTATTTAAAAGTTTTTTTCTTTTAGAAAAATCTCAACAAAAATGAGGAAAATTGATCGGAACAGAATTAATATTTATAAAAAGTTAACTATGATTACCGATTTTTCTATAATTCACTAATTCTTTATTGGATTATTTTCGAGATAAATGTTAGTTTTCAATATTTTTTCCTTACTTTTATTATTATTATTTTTTTATTATTTTTCCTTATTATAATTTTTTTATCTCAAAAATATTTTTTTTTTCTTTATTATGTCGCAATAATAAATAATCGAATATTCACATAGTAATTTTTTCATTTTTAATTTTTCTAAAATTTTCAATTTTCTAAAATTTTCAAATTTAAATCGGAAATTGAATTTTTTGTATGTCGAAATTTGATTGCATTGTTAGTTGAGAAATTGAAATTGGAAAATCTTTGTTTTATTGTGAATTAAAGTTTCTTAGCCTACTTTTCGTCAAAAAAAACAAATTTTTTTACTTTAAAAATTATTATCATTGTTACTATTTTATTAATTTTTTTTATTTTTATTTTATTATTATTTTATTATTATTATATTATTTATTATTATATTTATTATTATATTTGTTATTTTAAAAAAATATTTTATGGCTAAAAGTTTGTGAACTAAGATTATATGCTATTGGATTCAGTTCGGAGCGTCGATCGACGCTGAGGTTTGATTTCGCATAGGAATTAAAGATTTTTTCGAAAATTAAGGATAAATTAGTGATTCACTTAATCTCTTTTAAATCAAAAATATTTTATGTAACATTCAAAAAAAAAAAAAATTCATATATTAAATAACAAATGAAAAAATTTTGTAAAATAAAATTAAATTAAAATACTATGCATGGAGAAAATCCACGCATTTAACTTTCCCATTAATTCTTTTCTTCATTACACAATGGAATGTGAAAACGATTTTTATTTTATTTTGACTCTATTGCCTGGAGAAATTTTTTTTATAATTATAATTATTATAATTTTTCGTAATTTCTAAAAAAGAAAATTTCATTAAGAAATTTTAATTTTTTTCTTTTTTACAATTACAATTTAGAATTTTTCTTAATCTATAAATTTCTTTTATAGATTATCAATTAATCTCAGACGATTATTTACAATTTAAAATGTTGCTTTATTATTTGGCTGCGATTTTTAAAGGCCTACATCCTCGTGTTGACGATGATTTCGTTGATAAGCTCAATTATCATTATACATCAGCAATTATATTTGCTTTTGCAATAATTGTTTCTGCCAAGCAATATGTTGGTAAGTAACATCATATTTAATAATAAAAATACTATATATATATCGAATTTCTTAATTCAAATCGTTTCATTTTGTTCATATTTATAGGTTATCCAATACAATGTTGGGTTCCTGCACAATTTACTGATGCATGGGAACAATATACGGAGAATTATTGTTGGGTTGAAAATACATATTATTTGCCTCTAACCAGTGCTTTCCCTCTCGAATATGGTGACAGGCGGTGAAATTTTTTATAAATTTAAAAATAAATTATAAAAAAAACAAGAATTTTTTTAAAAATATTTCATTTTTCATTTTAAAAAAAAAGAAAAAAATTTCTAATTTCTATAATATATAATGAAGTTATTTTTTCATTTTATTTCTGAATATTTTTATTAAATTAAATTAAATCTATTAATCTATAAATCTATTCTATTTTAATTCTATTATATTCTATTTTTTATTAAATTAAAAAATTATTATTTAGATATATTCTATTTTTTGATAATTTAAGAGCACGCCAAATCAGTTATTATCAATGGGTTCCATTTGTGTTAGCACTCGAAGCCTTGATGTTTTACATTCCATGCATAATGTGGAGGGGATTATTACATTGGCACTCAGGTATATATTCATCCTTTTATCTAAAAAATTGTTTAAATTATTTTCGTGATTATTAAAATTTCTGCGCTATCAGCTTTTCAAATTGTTTATTTGGAATAAAAATTTAAAAATTTTGCTTTTTTTCAAGAAAAAAATTCAAATTTTTATTAAAAAAATATATTTTTTTGAAATTGGACATCCATATATTTGTTTCTTTTCAAAATTATGAGAAAATTTTTGATAACAGTGATAAGGATTGTGATAATGAAATAGTGAATGAAAAGTTTTGAAGTGAAACTAATGAATATTGGAAGCTAAAGTTGAAATTAAATCTAATTCTATTCGATTCTTTTTTTATTATTGTTAATCATTCGTTAAAGATATTTTTGAATATCTTCCAAATCTTTAAAGAATTATAAATAAATTCGATAAATCTAATCAAGCAATTAGTTAGAAATGAGGCAAATTGTTTAAATATTTTATCTTATCAAAAAACTTAATCTATTAGAATAAACGATTAGTAATTTTGAATAGAGATAGAGCGAATCAGTAGGTAGGTTGTCGATATCCATTTGGAGCGCCAATTTTGGAATTTCACTCCCAGCAAGAATAAACCTCTTAAAAATCTGAGTAACACTGACGATTCGCCAGTATTTTGCCAGTATCACCTAATGATAACTTCCTGTTGAAATTTGTTGGTCCAAGTCAAAGAAGCAGGCAAAAATGATGAGCGATTTTCATAAATTTTAAACAAATTTATTTTTTGATTTTTCTGGTTTCTGTTAAGCTGATATTCCGAGAAACCATTAAAGATTCAAAGTAGTAATTCGTATGTCATTTTTTACGGAAATTGTATTCCTATTAATGCAGAAATCAGACCATTCCAACTGGCGTTCAACCTGTAGTAAATAGATCTGAGGCATTATTTTTTAGTTGGCCCTAAGATAAAATCCATCGAGGATTTATAATTTTTTTATAAAATTTCTATTATCGAATATTGTTGGGAATTTAAGTCTAATATACCGCAAATTATAAATTTAAATATAAATTATAGAAAAAAAACAAGAATTTTTTTAAAAATAATAAATGATAAAAATAAAAAATATAATAATCTTTATATCTTAATATCTTTTAAAAATAATCTTTCCGTGAATTTTTAGTTGAAAAAGTAAGTTGTAAATTGGCATATTTTTGTAATATATTAGCACTTTTAGGGATTAATGTGCAAAGTCTCACTCAAATGGCTTGTGATGCACGAATGATGGATACTGATGCTAGATCTGCAACTGTACAAACAATTGCAGGCCATATGGAAGATGCTTTAGAAATACAAAGAGAAGTACGAAAAGTTTATTATCATAAATTTTATTGTCGCTACTAATAGATATAGATATAAGTTTTGTCTGTAGTTGATTGACCATTTGGCCAATTGGCTAGATTCTGAATAGAAAATAAATATGTAATAAATAATAATAATATTATCAGAGAAAAGTAATAAAATGACGTGTTGTTTTTATAATAAAATGACAAAAAAATAAAATCTATTAATAAATCCATTTCTCGAACTGTTTTTTTTTTGATATAAATTAATTTCAGGTGACAGATGTGTCAGGATTATGTGTTGGAAAAAGATGGGGATCTTATGTAACGTGCCTCTATGTTTTTATCAAAACACTTTATTTTATAAATGTTGTTGGACAAGTGTTCCTATTGAATACATTTTTGGGAACTGATAATTTACTTTATGGTTTTCATATTTTAAAAGATCTTTTA